TCAACTTTTCTAATTGCTTTCTGGTGTCTCCTTTCTTCACCCTGTTTTTTAAAGATCATAGATTTTGGTGTTTGGGATCAGCTTTTATTATGCCTCTTAATTGTGAAGGTGAAGAAAACCTGCTGCCTCATAGTCATGCAGTCCTTTAAAAAAGTTATTATAAAACTTTTTCTGTAGTAGTCATTTTAGTTTCTCCTCTGGTAATAAATCAATAGTGTACATGTACTTTAAGTTTGTGATGTTTTGATTCATTCAGCAATGAAGGAAATGAACTCTGGCAACATGATAAGAAACAGCGCTTACTTTAAAAAAAAAAAAGGTCACCCCTTTGCTGTCAGCTACATATTAGATTGGTTTTAATAAATCTGAAAGAGTGAGGCCATTGCGGCATCTCAGAAATGAAGGCGGAGGTTTGTGGTACTAAATGATTGTGAGAGAGTGAATGAATGAAAAGTAATCTGATCTGAGGTAAAACCCATTTTAAACGCGAAACAAAGAAACCTACTGATGGCAGTTTTTCAGTTGTGGTCGTTTTTGTTTTTTTTCCTCCATACTTATTCTTCAGGGGAGGCTGACAACCTGAAACGACAGACTTTATACGCAGTAACTCACTTTGGTGTACAGTAGAATATAGATTGAAGTGAGAAAAATCAATAGAATATCATCTAGAAAGATAGTAATGGATTTCTAACTTAATGGGCTCACACAGGTCTATTGATTAGCAGGGTGAAAATCTGCAATACCTCAACAATCTGATTTGCATTTAAATTACAGTACGCAGTGTGCTGACACCAATATAACAACAGAGACAAACGTATAGTCTGAACAGCGGCGCTCAATCAAGAGGTCTGACTGTAGTGTAGTTTTTAAAAAGTAAGAAAGGAAAAGTTGCTGTGATGAGATCTTACAAACTTTTAAATTCTGCTGTCGGGACAAGGACAAAAAAAAGTCCCCAATAAGAGTGAAGCCATCATAACTCTTGTTGGGCAGCTCATCTGAGCCTCCCTGGTAGGATCCTGAGGAAGCGCAGCGGCTGTTTGTGGAGAAACACTGTGGATGTCTCTGTGTATGTGTATATTTGAACTGAGTGGGTGTGTGTAGGGGGGGGGGGGGGGGGGGCGATGTGAGATGAGATGTTGAGAGGGTGGGGAGGCAGGGAGTTTGATGGACTGCATTGTCACCTCCAGGCCGAAGATTTACAGTGGCGGGGCTGCTGACGAGCGCGGGGCAGTAAACAGGCCGGCCGGGGGCGTATTTCACAGCGAACTGGCTTTTATGAAGAACAGCGGGATGGCTCTACCCACAGCTCCGCCCGGACCGCCGTGACGGATGGAGAAAGACGCATGACAAGCTTCATCATTGTTTGTAAATCTTAACTGTTCCCGCTCACTAACTCCAGAAGGCAATTTTGCGGAGACAGCGAGGCCTGCAAGGGGGGGGAGGACGAGGAGTAGGTGAGGAGAGGAGGGGAAAGGACAGCGTGGCACTGTTGAAGGTTATTTGGATGTCTGTGTTTGGCCAAATGATTAGCCTCATCCTGGGAGGGAGATAAATCTGCCAGGGGGCTGTTGGAAGGAAGGAAGGAAGGAAGGAAGGAAGGAAGGAAGGAAGGAAGGAAGGAAGGAAGGAAGGAAGGAAGGAAGGAAGGAAGGAAGGAAGGAAGGAAGGAAGGAAGGAAGGAAGGAAGGAAGGAAGGAAGGAAGGAAGGAAGGAAGGAAGGAAGGAAGGAAGGAAGGAAATACCCAATCAATTCAGTTACCCTCATATAATCCAGCTTGTAGTTGGATTATTTTTCCCACTGGATTATCCCCCATTTAATCCTAGCTAACACATAAAGGTTACTTTATACAATAATAATTTATAGCTATTTTACAAAATATGTTAGTTCTGCTGATAGTAAAAAGTCAGTTTTAACAGATGCCAATTTTATTTGCACACAGAACATTGAAGTTTATAATATTCAGACATGTATTTTTTTTAATAAACAGCAAAATAATAATTTAGGTGAACAAAAATACAGTTTGGAACCAATCTGTTTAGAGTTGTGTAGGAAAAATCCAAACTAAAGGCATTGTTAAAGCACAAAAAAAAATAGTTTCCAGCTGAGCACAGAGAAGCTGTAACGTCTGGAGATGAATAAATGACAGATGGATGAACATTCGGGATCAAACAGTGATGATGAAGAAGCTTCAGTTTCATCAAGATTCAATAAATTAAGATGAAAGCAAACAAAATTACAAGAAGTTGAGGAGCTGAATGAAATATAACACTCTTATTTTAATTGCAGCTCTAATAGAGAATCTCAATGAGTGACACACCTGTGAACCTTTTCATTAATTTCTAACTGTTGTGGTTTTTACTGTTTCATTTTGTAAAAAGGAATGAAAATCAATAGACAGGTGCCAAAACAGACAACCATGAAACCGAGACCCAAAAGATGGAAAGAATCCTGCAACCTATGTTCATAAACTAGGAGGAAGCTCCTCATGTCAGCTCCAGCTCTACAGGGATGATGGCTGCTGCATGGTAGAACTTTAAAAAGAAGGTAATCCATGACTCCTTAACAGCAAACACTGACTCTTGTTAAATGAAATTAAAATAATTTCTGCTCTGCATTAACTATAAGTGGGACCACCCGCTGAGGTTGTTTTATTCTGGTAATGGGGCATGGCGATTCACGATGGGGGGCTGACGTGGGACCCTCACAGCAGAGGGACAGCTGAAGGTGATAAACAAACATCTCTACGAGGAAAGATGTGGGGGTCTCAAGCTTTGGGATGCTGGTGTTGTCATCACTTCCTTTCAGTGAGAATAAAAAGAACAAGAAAAAAGACCTCTAACGCTCTTTCTCTGTCCCTTTCATGTGAGAAACAATAAAGAATCTGTCTATAAACACTAGTTAAACAACTAAACTAGATTTTGATTTGTAGCATAAAACAGATGGGTGTGAAAAACTTTAGAAATTCACTAAGCAAAATCACCTACAGTGACATAAATGGGAACTAGAGGAACCAGTAATAATGGACATTAGGGAGCCAAATTTTAAAACACGACTTAAGACTTAATTTAATTCGCTGGGTTTTAACACTGGCAGGATTTAGCCTGTGACCTTGTTTTATTCCGCTTAAACAAATTCATATTATTGCCTTAATTTATATTTTTATGCTGTATTTTATTTCTTTATTGTGTTTTATTTATTTATTTTTTGTAGCTATGACAGCACTTTTTTTTTCAGTTGTAGCTATTTTAAAGTATAGATGAAGATGATGATGACTTTTGAGGAATTTAAATCAGGCTAAATATTCTCTATTCAGAGGGAGACCTCTGAAGCTATCATATAAAAAAAAGACGGGGTGCCAATTAGTTTTCAGCTTCCAGTGAACCCGTCCAGCCTTTTGCCTGCATGACAACCAGCAGGGAACAAGATAAGTTTCCTAGACAGCTTTAGATCGAAAAATCTTCTAAAAAGGCTTTTTTTTCCTTTAAATTAAGTTCAAGACTCGACTTTTATCTAAATAGATGAAAACAGAAACCTACTATTCAAGTTAAGAACAGTAAAAAAAAAACTGAGCAGAAAACTTTTTGGCATAAAACCAAAGCAGAGTTTGTTGGAGAAAACATACTGTAGGTATGCAGGGAAATGGGGTAAAACTACTTACTAATAAACAGTTTAAATAACAAAATAGTGTCTTTAAACTCTTGAAATGACTTCAGTAGCTCACTAAGAAAGTCAATTTCACATCCCCTAGAGGACACATTTTTAGTTCCTTATATTGTTGAATTAGAGTTGGATGAAGACCATTCTTCTGTTCTACTTGTTTCCTTACTTTGAAAAATCAACCTAAAGATGAAAAAACAAAGAAATGCAAAGTCTGTAGTATTACAAAAATAAAAGTTATGATAGATTTTTATAGAGAATTGGACAATCCATGTTTAAAACATGCCACTTCTTTAATAGGTACAGATGTGATTGAAAGCAACAATTGGAGAAAAAAAAAAAAAAATCACCACCAAACTTTTAAAAGGATAATGTTTGTTGGGTGAGTTATTATGTGCAGCTCCAGAAAGTCTGAGTGCAGGGAGCACACATTGCATTACCATGTGATATTACAGTTAACAGATAGAGGCTTCAAGAAGGAAGATCTGGGGTTTATAGCAGGTTATGTTTGGCTAGAGAGTTTGTGACCATAAGAGAATAAAGAGCAGCTTATGTAGATTTCTCAGTAACCTGTTAATGATAATCTTCCCCTTAAAGCACTAGTTAAACACATTTACTAAATACATTTATTTCACCAAACCTCCTTTTCTTAAACACACAAACAAACAAATCTTTAATATCAAATTCCCTTTTTGCTGCCACTTAGTTCTCCCTCATCACGGATCGTACTCTTATTACGTACTTATCTGCATTCTTTAGATATTTCTTTTTTTTTTAAACACACCCTTTACTGGACATGTTAAGCAAAGCACCTAATCTGATTCACCCACATTCTAAGGTAATAAAAAAATGAAGGCATAAACTCCAGGCAGGCAGCCGTGCTCTGACGGGCTTCGTAAAGGAAAGTGCCAGAAACCTACTGCTGCAGAAATAAGAGATCAAATCTACTTCATCTGTATACACGATGAAAAGAAATAAAGCAGCATTGTTTGGGATTTCTGAAACAGGCCTGCACTGGTTATAGTTTACTATAATTTCTAATTCCCAATTATTTAATTAAATCACCCACACAGATCAGTTTTTTTTTTTTTTTTTTACATTTCTTTTGTTTTTCAAGCTTTAAGACACCATTTAGCAGATTAAAAGCTCAGTCTTTGAGATTCTTTGATGAGATCCAGCCTACATAGAAAGTAGTGGATTTGCACTTAGGTTTAGTATAAGTGAAAAATAAATTTGATGGCACTCGTGAACCGAATGCAATCCTCCCTTGGATGTTCTGTTGATAAATTCTGGGTAAAAGTTTATGGGGCCTTATAAGAGTGTGTGTCAGAGTGTTACTCACAGGCTGCCGTGGTCTCAGAGCAGCTGTTGTTGTCCTCCACGCTGACGAAGGGAGGCACACAGGTGGTGGAGCCCAGACCCTGGGTCAGGTAGGGGGCTCCAGGGTAGTAGGAATGCATCCGGTACTGAGGGGACATACTGTGGCCAGGGAGGCGGCCGTCCCCATGAGGCATCTGCTTTACACAAAAAAAAAAGTAATTCAATGTAGAATTAGGGAAACTATTGCTTCGTTTATGTTCTAAGAGTTTTACATAGATATAATTACAGGTGCTGGTCATAAAATTAGAATATCATGAAAAAGTAGATTGATTTCAGTAATTCCATTTAAAAAGTGAAACTTGTATATTATATTCATACATTACATACAAACTCATATATTTCAGATGTTTATTTTGTTTAATTTTGATGATTACAAATGACAACAAATGAAAATCTCAAATTCATCATATCAGAAAATTAGAATATTGTGAAAAGGTTCAAAATTGATGGCCCCTGGTGCCACACTCTAATCAGCTAATTAACTCAAACCACCTGCAAAAGCCTTTAAATGGTCTTTCAGTCTAGTTCTATAGGCTACACAATCATGGGGAAGACTGCTGACTTGACAGTTGTCCAAAAGACGACCATCGACACCTTGCACAAGGAGGGCAAGACACAAAAGGTCATCGCTAAAGAGGCTGGCTGTTCACAGAGCTCAGTGTCCAAGCACATTAATAGAGAGGCGAAGGGAAGGAAAAGATGTGGTCGAAAAAAGTGTACAAGCAAGAGAGATAACCGCACCCTGGAGAGGATTGTGAAACAAAACCCATTCAAAAATGTGGGGGAGATTCACAAAGAGTGGACTGCAGCTGGAGTGAGTGCTTCAAGAACCACCACACACAGACGTATGAAAGACATGGGTTTCTGCTGTCGCATTCCTTGTGTCAAGCCACTCTTGAACCACAGACAGCGTCAGAAGCGTCTTGCCTGGGCTAAAGAGAAACAGGACTGGACTGCTGGTGAGTGGTCCAAAGTCATGTTCTCTGATGAAAGTAAATTTTGCATTTCCTTTGGAAATCAAGGTCCCAGAGTCTGGAGGAAAAGAAGAGAGGCACTTCATCCACGTTGCTTGAAGTCCAGTGTAAAGTTTCCACAGTCAGCGATGGTTTGGGGTGCCATGTCATCTGCTGGTGTTGGTCCATTGTGTTTTCTGAGGTCCAGGGTCAACGCAGCCACATACCAGGAAGTTTTAGAGCACTTCATGCTTCCTGCAGCTGACCAACTTTTTGGAGATGCAGATTTCATTTTCCAACAGGACTTGGCACCTGCACACAGTGCCAAAGCTACCAGTACCTGGTTGAAGGACCATGGTATCCCTGTTCTTAATTGGCCAGCAAACTCTCCTGACCTTAACCCCATAGAAAATCTATGGGGTATTGTGAAGAAGAAGATGCAATACACCAGACCCAACAATTCAGAAGAGCTAAAAGCCACTATTAGAGCAACCTGGGCTATCATAACACCTGAGCAGTGCCACAGACTGATCGACTCCATGCCACGCCGCATTGCTGCAGTAATACAGGCCAAATGAGGCCCAACTAAATACTGAGTGCTGTACATGCTCATACTTTTCATGTTCATACTTTTCAGTTGGCCAACATTTCTATAAATCCTTTGTTTTTATTGGTCTTCAGTAATATTCTAATTTTCTGATATGATGAATTCGAGATTTTCATTTGTTGTCATTTGTAATCATCAAAATTAAACAAAATAAACATCTGAAATATATGAGTTTGTATGTAATGTATGAATATAATATACAAGTTTCACTTTTTAAATGGAATTACTGACATCAATCTACTTTTTCATGATATTCTAATTTTATGACCAGCACCTGTAGATATGCTGTTTATTTTGCTCTATATTTGGAAACTTGCTAAGTTTTTCTTCCAAGTGCAGTGCTTTTCGAAGCAATACTATTATAGTACTGTTGTACTATAACATCACCAAAAGTGTCAGTTTTTTTTAGTTCATCAAAAAGCATAAAAAAGGAAAATATTCTCCATTTGAAGGTGAAAAAACATACTTTATAGGAAATAATCATGGCTCCTTATTGAGGAAAATAAAGGTGATAGAAAACTACTATTTTATTACAGCTCTTTAAAGTAAATCGGGACTAGCTAAGGCTAGCGAGGCAAAGATACTCAAAATGTACAAAATAATGAATCTTAAACTTTGGTGTACGACCAGCGGAGACAAGGGTTTTCCTGAATAGGAATGTTTGAAACAAACTTTTTACATAATAAATAAAAAGAATAAAATACAAAGTGACCTTAATGAAGAGGAGATGAGCCCAGAATAGCTAAAGGTACCTCAAGCTTAATAATCTTTACTTCCAGCTGGCTAACACACAAGAACAGTGAAGAATAATTTAGAAAAATAAAGAAAAACTGAAATGAGAACAAGTGCAGTTTTCTACTGTTTCTGTTTTTATCACATCTAATATAGTCAGATTCAAAGTAACTGCAATCAGTGTTAGCAACACAAGCTAATAGAAGTCTGATTTTTAAGCATTTTGACACTAAAGAACAAATAAAAGGAGCAAATAAACTTTTTAAATGCAGTGCAGCCATGTTAGAACACACAAAACTGAAAATGTTTAGCTATTATTTTAGTATTGGTTTTAAATGACAGTTTTACTGTAATATACTGTAGTATTTAGAAAATGTATAGTTTATGTTTTGTAATGAGGTACTTCTAAAGAAAATAAGGGACAAGTTAACTTAAAAAAGCTTATTATTTATCTATTAAAAAACACAAAATAGAAACAAAAAAAAACAAGATTTAAACATACCAACATATTAAGAAAATCTGATAACTTTCATTTTGAAGATGTCTGTGGCTACATGAACAATTTTGATCAGGAAGAAATTCCTTTCTGTTATAAAGGAGAACATTTTTTTCTCTCTGTCTGTCCGTCCCCACACAAATTATGCTGTTGCTTACCAAAAGGTTCTGTTGGTCAGAAGAAGAAAAACGCAACTAAAATGTTACAAAACACAGATAGCACCAAAAAAAAGTTGAACAAACGTTTTTATGTAAAAAGTTGCAGCAGAAAGCTGCATTCCTTTCAGGAACTGCCACAGGTCAAACACAGATAACATGTATTACAACAATTATTAAATGAAAGAAAAAAAAATTAAAGCCAGTTTTATTCCTACAGGACATCTACATGCATACCAAGTCATTTATCCCAGGAATAATATTACTGCACAACCCAGAAATGTAAGGACATCAGAAAGAAAACAAAACAGATGATGATTAATTCTAGGAATGATGTGCAACATATGCTGGATTTCTCCAGTCGCTCAGAAACTTTAAAACAAGCTGTCTTCTCAGCAGCAAGGCCGTCTCACTCCGGGTTTTCAATTTCATTTTTATGGAATTTGATTTCTGTCAGTCTGTAATATGTCACCCGTATTGTCCACCTCATCAGTTCTCCGACAGCTTTATAAACTGTTATTTAAACGACACTCTGCTCTCGTATTGGGCTGTGAAAAATACAACAGAGATTGGAATGGAGTCTTCAAACTGCACCAAGCTTATCGCTCTCAGGACGCCCAACAAAACTCTTAACAAAACCTGACCACAAAAATCTTTTGTATTTTTCTGGATCCAACCCAGTGTCTGATGCAGATCCACATGGATGAAACTTCCTCCAGGACCTATATGCTATATTGGTGCTGATGTAATAACAAGTCATTTATGTTCAATCCCACACAAAACATCCTTAGATTAACAGGATTAATTGAGCAGGTTGTTTTAATGAAAAAACCTCCTATCCTACGCTGTATCTCTACAATTATCACAATCCCAAACAAATACTACTAATATACGACCAGTTATTGGAGCAAAACAGATTTGCAAAAAAAGATAAACACCATCTGATACGGAGGTTAATAATATGTAATGCATTCCTGTATAAAATATTTAATATATTACATAATTAGGATGTTTTATTCTTGTTTAATTAGGTCTATGTTCTTTGGCTGCGGGATTAGAGATCAGACAGGATCTTCACCTGCTGGTTTCTGATGCTCATCTTCGGAAATTAGAGCAGATAAAGGAGCGATAAGTTAAATGTCATTATTTTAGATAAAAAGAACCTAAAACATAGTTAAGTGAAGAACTAAAGGTATCTTTTCAGATGAACTATGCTGATATGTCTCACATTATATCCGTGTATTGTCCTCCAGCCTCTTGTTTTCATAGATGAAAGATTTTCACCTGAAGATGATCAGGACTCATCATTGCTACAGAAAAAAACTTCTTTAAAAAAAGAATATTTGGATTTCTTACTTCATATATGTTATTTTTTTAAATATATCTAAATGAAAATCGATTAGATTTTTAAAAACACACAAGCAAAGCTAAAAAGGCTGCGATTTAGTGATCTAGCCCTAAAGCAGCATGCAGATCAGTCATCAGCAAAACACTTCCTACTTTATTGCATGTTTTCCATGTTCCTATAAAATGCTTAGAGAAAGCTTGGTTGATCAGAGTTATTAAAATGTTTGAATTATTGCACACATTTAAATTCTCATGATAAAATTAATTCATTTGTCTCACTGGCATGAGGACAGAAAGCAATGTGCAGCGCATGTTCCCACCAATAAAGGTTTCCATACACATAAAACCCTTCTTATAAACTAATTGTTGACTTGGGGGGGGATTTCCTACCACCTTGAAAGTGCCTGTCTTCTTATCTGGCACCATCTTCTGTCTGGAAGCTCTGTCCCACCCTTATTTTACATCATCCACCTGCATGACAACCAGGCACCGAGAGCACGGAGTGCAGTAGTTAGATGGCCTTACAGTGATAACAAGCACATGGTTTCCTCTGGGGCTGGGTGTTAGAAAGGGATAAGCTCAGAGCTCAAGTTTACTTCCTAAATAAAACTACAAAGACTGGATTATCTATATAGATTTTAATTTACAGATCTACTCAATGTAGTGCATAACTGAAGCAGATGGGAAATTATTCATGGCTTTAACAGTTACTATTACATAAAAAGCTGATAAGTGTGACATTGTATCTTTTTCTACAGATAACATTTTTCTTTCCATCATAGTTCAGGCTCAGCTTGACAACAGGGAGAATATATCTGGATATCATTCATAATTTTAATAATTAAGC